TCCTAATTCATTCCTTTTGATCCTTAACGGGAAACAATTGGATCAGTCTAGACACAGGAAAGCACCCGCCATCAAAAAAACAACCAAAAACAACTCTCCCCAGAAAAGCAAAATAAAATCACAATTGTAGAAAAAGGAAATCTTTCATTGGTCACCTTCTAAATTTGGTTTTGTGACATTTTTCATGTCTGGGTTGCTGAGCTTTCCATATGCTCTTCAGCTCAGAATTAAGACAAGGGAAGTTTAGAAGTGTGATTTTTGTGAGTGTGATGGTTTGTGTCTGGATTTCCCTACAAGCCTCATGCAGTCATGGGGTGGGCTTCTAGAGTTTATGGTGGATTCATGGTCCAATGTTGGGATTATGGGTGTGAGTGCTACACTGGCCCTGGGCTGGGTACTTTGCATACCGTATAAGGGAGGGAAAGAGGCTTGCTCTTCCTGGCTGCTACTCCCTTTTTTGTTCTTGCTGCTTTTGCTGTCTTCTGCTACCATGAACTGTTGTCCTCTGCCATGTGCCACTCTGCCTTGGAGCCAGCCGGGTATGGACTGAAACCTGCACAAACTATGAGCTAAATAAACCTTTCCTTCCTTAATTCTGGGCATCAGGTGTTTTGTCTCAGTGAGAGAAAAGTAACCAAGACAGTGAGGAAGCTTGAAACAAGTATTTCATAACATCAACATATGAGTCCCTGAGAGGTTTGGTCTTGGTTCACTGGTCCTCATTTTAATCTCTCTTAATTTTTTCTTAAGGACTGATACTGTCTGAAAACTTAATTGTAGATGAAAAGTAAAAGGCCCTGTTAAGATTGTCCTTGAAAAAAAATTTTAAGTTTTATAGGCTTTAGTTTTCTTCATTTGCTATCACTGACTCAGTTCTGGTCACAATTTATAGTTTCAGAATGTGTAAGTCACAAGCAGTATGCCTTCTGCTGACAGAAGGTACTTCTGGACAAACACTACAATTTGCTTCTGGCACTTGTTACCTCAAAGAGTTCAAGGTGGCTTTATTATAGATTGTAGATTCTTTGATGACCTTGTAGGGTGCTTTGTGTTTTTTAAAATTAGTGTATATTCTTGAAAAAGACAAAACTTCTCTTAACCCTGGCAGTCAAATGTCACACATGTATAAAAAATTCACTCAGACTTTTTGTTCATGCTCAAAATGTCCGTAGTACTTTTGAATGTGAAAGAAAGGTTAAGTTCTTCAGGCAAGAGCACACGTTTTAGAGTTGAGATGTGGTGCCATCACGTCCTAGTTTTGTACCCATAACCCCTCAGACCTCATGTTCTTATCTCTAGGTGGGGATAGCTGCGTCTCAACTGGGAGGAGCAAGTAGAGCACATTCAAAATGTTTAATGTGGTGCCTCGCATGAAAAATGCTCCTTTCATTATCATCTGATGGCAATCTGATGGAGCTACTACTCCAGGCTTTTTACATTAAAGCTATGTGGTTGGTTTTCCCTCCTGGACATACTGCCCTGCTCATATAGCCTTGGGGACCCTTTGGTTGGTTGAACTTACGACCTCCCACACTGCTGCATTATTTAAAGTGCCAGCGTACATTAGTACTTAATTATGTGGAGAACGTTGGTTTGTTGAGTATTGTGAAAAAATGATATACAGAAGCCTGCTTGAGTTTCCTAAAAGTAGGTTATTGCAGGCTTATTTCCTTTTACTGATAAATTTAATCAGATATCAATTGAAAAAACATCCAGCCAGACTTAGTAGATTTGTGTGTGTTGTGAAGTGCAGTCTTTTTCCTTATTCAGCATGGGTTTAAGCGTGGAAGACAAGTGTAGCAAATTTGCTTGTATCAAACATGGTAGACTGGCACGGTCACTTAACACCAAAAGGGTAAATTATTCAAGGAAAAGGAATTAGACTTTTCATTGAAGACCAATCTCAAATGTAGCTGCTAGTCACTGATGCCTTGCTTTCAAATATCCCCATTTCTCATCTCCCACGTCTATCCTTTAATAATTTCAGACCTGCTTTCTCAATTCATATTGGGGAGTTGCCAGGCAAATTCTCCGTTTAAGCACTTCCGTTTAAATTTTATCTCCCAACACGTCTCTTTGCTCCTCTTAAGCTTAGGTTTTTCTTGATGGCTTTGAGTTTTCAAATTGAGTTCAGGAGGGTTTGTAGTGAGGAAGGGCGGGATAAGCCCTCAGAATCTCACGTTTCACCTGTAGAATGGAAATTGGCAGAGAGGAAATGTTGGATTGTTCCATGGAGACCACAGATGCTTTACCATCTCCTTGATTTTCTGTTTACAACACATTTTCCATTTTTTTGTACATACAGTCGAGTGCCTCTCAGGATTCACTTCTGTTTTCCGAGCGACTTAAGGATTGGCTTACACTATTTCTCTTTTTTTCATTACTATTCTCAATGGCAACAAGTATCTGTGTTTAACACAAAACTGGCCTAAATTTGTGCACTCCTGTCGTATCTTAGCATCGTGGCCATTCTTGATCATATCGTCCTCTTCCCACCTGTAGAATCTTCCACTGAGATTCTCCTTATCTGACAGTATCTCACTTTCTGCTTTCTCCCTTCATTGCTCACTTCCTGGCCTCTGACTGCTTACTCCAAACTAATTGTTGGCTGACCTTATAACTTCTGTTTATCATGGAGTATGTGGATAATCACTTCATTAAAACCTATATATCCATATCTCTTCAATTTCTGCTGAGGATTGCAAACCAGTGCCTAATTTTGTATCACTCTGGTTTCACATTCAACAAGGCATGGGGCTTTAACATTTTCAGCATCCAAAATCTGCCAACAACTGCGTTAAGGACTTTGAACATGAATTTAATCACATAACAATCATAAGGTATAAGTATTTTCTTCCTTATAGAACAGAAGTGGAACTTGAGAAATGTGAAGTAATGTGTTCTACTCAAGCACAGAAGCAAGTAGGAGAGCTAAAATTTAAGGTTCGCTTTACTAAAAACCAGTGCCTATTTATGCAGCACTTTTAAAGTAAATGTCACACACACATGGTTTCCTCAGCATTTATTGTTATGAGAAACTGCCCCTTCTGCCCGTCCCCTAGCTCCTCCCTGCAGTACAGGGCTTGCATCTTTCAGCTGATATCTTGGTATTTGCTGCTTCTCAGAGCTTTAGCAGGTGTGTGTTGTGTCTGCTTCGGATTTTCACTTTTAAGTATTAACTATTCACTTTCCACAGTCGAAGATGGGGATTTGCTCTTTACCTCTTCCCTTCAGCGCCCCCCTATTCATATGTGCACTTTATCTTTTACCATATAATTGACATAATTTAATTAGGTCAATTGACCCTAATTTTACATTTTCCTACAGGAGTTTCTATCAGAATTTTTCTTTTGCTGCTTTTCTGTATAATTGTCATTAATCCAACCTTATACTGTACTAAATATTTGAGTGGAAGTTTATCAACTGTGCTCTTCACTATGGGGTAATCTGATTACAGTGTTTTGTTTAGAATTCTCAGTGTTCTCTTTAGCTCTCAGTGTGTTTCTAGATCTTTCTTCTTGGCACGGACAGATTCTCCAAGGAAGATTTATCCCTTAATCTGGCTTGAGGGTAAATGCCTGCCTGTCAGCCAGCTGAGGTTTGGGAATCTCAGCATGCAGGGTGTGCATTTATTTAATCAATCTCTTTTCAGGATGGTACCCATGTTCTCAACTTACCTGGTGCTTTTACATGCAGAAGCCTTTTCCTTTACCCTCTCCGAGTAACCTCCATTTATCTACCTAGGGAACAAAACGGGCGGTGGCCTGGCTTTCTCGGGAGGAAAAGATGAAACTTTATCTCCTGGGGGGGGGGGGCGGACCAGCTGTGGTGGTGTAGGACTAAAATCCCAGCGCTCTGAGAGGCTGAGGCAGGCTGTCGAGTCGGAGCCCTCCCTGGCAGCTAAATGATTTAGCAAGAGTCTGTCAGAAAATAAAAAAGGGCGGGGGGTTGGAATGAAGCTCAAAGAAAGGGCTGTGGTCCTGGGTCAGAGGGAGCTATATCTTTGGGGAAATGTGTATTTAAATCTTTGCCCATGTAAAAATTGGTCTCTTTTTTTGGGTCTTGAGTTATAAGAATTCCTTATTCTAGATAATGTCTTCTGTGAGATATATGATTCACAAATATTTTCTCTCACAAGGTGGATTATCTTTCACTTTTTGATGGTGTCTTCTGAAACATAGAAGTTTTTAATTTAAATGAAATTCTATATGTCTATTTTTTCTTCCAGTGCTTGTACTCTTAGTATTATATCTGACAAATAAGTGCCTAATCCAGTGTCACAAAGACTTGTTTTCTTCTGAGTGTTGTACTGTTTTAGGTCTTACAGTTGTGTCTAATCCATTTTGAATTAGGTTTTGTGTGTGACATATGGTAGAAGTCCAGCTTCATTGTTGTGCATATGTATATCCAAAGATGCCCCAGAATAATTTGTTAAAAAGATTGTTCTTTACTCCTTGAATTTTCTTGGTACCTCCACTGGACATTTACTGATCATAGAGTTTATTTCTGGACCATCAATTCTATCCATTTATCTAAATGTCTATCCTTACACATCACCACTCTGTGTTGATTAGTAGAACTTTGTTGTAAGTTTTGAAATTGCCTAACTGTGTCACAGACTTTGAAGACTCTTGTTCCATCTACTCTATTTATCCCAATTCCAGAACAATTAGAGCATTCAGGGGATTCTGTAATGTAAATTGAGTTGCTTCTCAGTCTTCTTGATGACTCTTTCATCTCCTTTTAGGCTTCTAATTTTTCATTGCTGGTTGTTATCCAATTTACGCTATTGTGTTCTTTGAAAAGAAAAGGAAATCTTTTATGTTGCTTTTAATAGGATTTCAGAGGGAGCAAAAGTAGATAAACCTTAATAGCTTCAATAAATGACTTTTAATATATTTTTTTCTGCTTCCACATTCAAGCAAGGACATCGTTCTATGGGTTTTTACCTGCCCCTCCCACCCCCCCGTTCTTCTCATTGCACCCTTTGTGCTCGTACCTTAATATGCTGTCATCTCCCAGCAAGACTATTTCAGATCTGAAGTTGTTTCTGCCTTCAGTCCTGAATCTTCTTCCCAGGCGCTGCTCTCTGAAATATCAATATGTGTATGTAATTGCCTTGGGTAAAGCTCTTCTTATTGTTGACATTTACTCACAGGAAGAGATGGAAAGTGCAGAGCCCTCACCATGTCACTGAAGGTTTATCACAGTCTGGGCCCTGCTTTCCCTTGAGCCTTATCTCACCAGCAGCCTCGCCCCATACCTATACTCCATCGCTGTTGAGCAACACAGTTCTCTATATATTTCCTTAATGTTCCCTCTGCCTGGAACCAGCTCTTTACTATTTCCGTTTCCTTATGGCTAACAAGTACAAGTTTGCCTTGGAAGATTCAGCCCAACAACTCTTCCAGAAACCTCTCCTGATTCCCCTAAAGTGGTATTGAACACTCCATTCCTTGTTTTTCATACCTTCTATAGAGAAGTCAATTTTGTTTCACTTACTTATTTGTGTGTTTTTTTCAGCTTAGAACGTTATTTCCTTAGGGGTGGGCACTATGTTCATTCACGTTTGCATTGTTTACATGCTATTCCTTATCTGAAACACTTAAGAGGGGATACAGTGTAGAAGAACATGGGTTTTGGAAACAGATATTCTGAATTTAAATTATGCCTAGGCCATTCTTTAATTGTGTGAAGCTTTGGTAAGTGACCTAAACTCTCAATGCCCCAGTTTATTCATATGTAAAGCAGGAGTAACAGTGACTACCTTGCAAGTGATGTGATGATTAATCATATTTTGACCCACATAAGTCTACAGAAAGTGCTTAGAATTGATATTAGCAAATACTAAGCATTTGGTAATACTAGCTATTATAATTTCTACGAATTTATGTAAACTTTCCTATAAGATGATCAGCACTGATCTGTAAGGAAAATACAAGCAAAATGATTATTTTCAGAAATAGATCAAATGTAATTAAGTACCCCAAGTCCAGAAACAGTTTAAATCCAGTCAGTCAATATCAGTGCACCCACTCCTGTTTAAAATGTTTCATTTTTTAAAATCTTGTTTTCTAGAGAGGCAAACTGTGCCAGTTCCAGACTTTTAGTTTTTTAGTCAAGCACGGTTGGTTAAGCATTTTCCATTCTTCAGCAAATTCGTAGTATTTTCCTGTGGGATAGTAAATTCTATGACTTTGTAAAGTTTAAGTAGAAAGACTATCAGTTGATCTATGCAAGGCAATTGCTGGGTTTGATCTCGTTACAGGTGGAGAACAATCGAGTGGCCATCAAGAGCACCAAAGCAGTGGCTAAGACCTGGCCGTTTAGTTTCCTTTTATTCTCAGGAGGAGTGCAGGGTTAGTGTCTGAGCTCTATGTGTGGCTGAATCAAAGCTTCCCGTTTCCTTTGCAACACAGTTGCCTGCACATCACTGTGCATACAGACATTGTATGATTAGAAAGTGCGTTTTGTGAAAGCCACATACACAATATGTTCACACACAGCTGTAACACACCAGGTCGGGAAAGAGCTTATTACCATGAAATAGCTTAAGGATTCCGCAGTGCCTATCTTTTACATTTTCCTACTTTTAGAAAAAGGCACAGAACGTTTGAATTCATAGGTACTTAACAACTAAGGCTAACTTGCTTATAATAGCAGGCTTGAGAGACGAGGGCTAACATCAGAGGACAGTTGTTTTCCTGTATAAATAACATCCCTCTGTGCATTTTCCTCTACCACCTCCGTCCAAATGGCTACTCGCCCTGTGAAAAAAACAAATCGTGTCTTGAGCACAGATAACCCCAGGCTTCAGATCTGTAATCTGACTGTGGCCATCAGCAACCAGAAATGAATTTCTTTCTAATCAGCTTTTCATCAGCCCCTAGTCACTCATATAAAGGAGTCTGGGGAGGGGAAGATTTGCATTGCTCTTGAGCACCAGAGTTCTGGACAGCACCCCGAGCACTGCGGAAGAGCACCCGGTCCTCTCTCCTCTGCCGGCGCTGCTACTGCCGCTCTAGTACCCCCTGCTGCCGAGAAAGAAAATTACATCCGGATCCATGCAACCGGCAATGATGATGTTTTCCAGTAAATACTGGGCAAGGAGAGGACTTTCCCTGGATTCAGCGGTGCCTGAAGAGCATCAGCTACTTGGCAGCTTAACAGTGAGTACTGAGTACCTGGGAGTCTCCAGAGTGTTTCCTAGGGTAGCGATCGTCTGCTCTACAGCATATGCACACCTGGTGTGGAGCGAGCACACGCACCTCAGCACCCTCCTTTACCTACCCTCTTTTCTCCTTACTTCATTTCTGCCCGCCTTCTTTTCCCACACAGTAAAGCAGGCGTACTGACAGTTGTGTCCTAAACGTTCTGTCCACAAAATAGAAAGTGAAGTTTCTGAACATTAGGAATGAACGTTTGTATGAATCAATGTCGTAAATCCAAAGTGCGTTGAACTTTGAAAGGCCATTTATTATGAGGAGGTATACGAAGAAGGAATTAAACCAATTCCTGTGGTTTCTATAAAATCATAATGTCTTCCACACCCTGTTCAGGTCTACAGCGACCGGTCTTTAAACACAGAACTAATATGTTGTATTCTTGACTACAGATTTTGGAATAAGAAGGATCAAGCTCCTTTCAAAGTTTTTCTGCACACTTTGTTACTCCATTTAAAAAGTTTAACTGATGGAGTAATGAAAACAATATTTTACTTGTTTTTTTGTGTAAGGAAGTTTTTGTATTTAAAATGTTAATAAGAGGGAAAGGTATAGTTTGCAGAATTTTAGGTCCTGATTTGAAGTAATAGTCATAAGATTTAATAAAAAAACAATACTTTTATTTCATGGCAATGAAATAGAAATGTATTCAAGTTCCTACTCATTAAAAATATTAAATGGTATTTCACTGCTGAACTATCAGAGCTCATCAACCAATTCCAACTGAGTTTGTCATAAAAAAGTCTGTCTTAATATTATGGCTGCAAATATGTGCCAGAAGGTTGCACTGTGCTGACATATTATTATTGCTAAAAATGTTGGAAAGTAATCATGGCCACTTGTGTAGAACTGTTTAAATTACTGTGCAAAATCAGGCCAAAAATGTAAGTAGATTTACTAATACTTAAATATGACTCTTTGGATAAGATATTATATTGAGGACTTTGGAAGTCATAACGAACTGCTAGAAGGAAAACAAAGAAAACTCAGAGTTATGGTTAATCTAAGCCCCTTTTGTATAACAAATGGAACTGAAATATATGAGATTTGTGTGTGATGTGGGGAAGAGCAGGCAGATGTTGGAGTACTAAGACATTTGAGCTTTTAATGACTAAATGTACTGTCAAATGTCAATGTCTGCTTCTCTCCCTCAAGTCATAAATAATAAAATACCCAGTTGTATTATATATAAATCTAGTGAGCAAGGCAATACTAATATGTAAAGGTAAAGCCAGTAAAGAAACCAGAGGAAGACAATGGCAAATCACTATTCACTGGATCCCACATCAAAAGTACATTTCTCTCTTCCACGAGGATGTAGTAGATTGATGTGATTGTATTGTATGATTTTCCAGAACGATAGTTCTGTTTGCTCAACTCTGTATTTGCATATGGATAATATAAAATAAAACAACATAGTTTTGCATTGTGTGACAATGAAAATTTTCTCATCTTTTAATTTTGCATTTCTGACAATGTGATCTGAGTTGCTAGAATCTGTCATTTTTATCTTTAGCTGGGAGGGCTAATAGTTATTACTCTGATTCTTTTGTTTACTGCTAATGATGAGCTAGCCAGTTTTCTTCCTTTCTTCCGCCTCTTGTATATGTGGCTGAGTTTAACCATCATTTTCTTATACTCACTCCTGACACAGTTGCCTCTGCACCAGACATCTTCTCTGTGCAGGTAGATTCACACTGACATTCGTATTGACAATATGGAGCTAATTGCAGAAAGCAAGGTTATCCATTTCAGCTCATGTCTTTACATATTCAAAGTGAAATAGATGTTTTCTATTTAAGATTTAACTAAGTCTAAATTTACTGTTGCTAAAAATGTTTGATTTTATTTTGTTATGTTTAGTAATAAATGTACTTTACATATAATTGATTCATTTAGACCAAAAGATCAAATTTCATGCTATAAAATAAACCTAGGAAAAAGGACAGGAATTATTCATATAGGATCCTTTATACTTAAGGATGGTTGGAATTTTGTTGCCATTAAAGTGAAGCAAATATGATTTCCCTTTTATTTCAGCCATTAGATTCTATTTTATTTTATTTTATTTTATTTTTTTTGCAGTACCGGGGATTGAACTCATGACCTTGCGCTTGCCAAGCAAGCGCTTATGCCACTGAGCTATATTCCCAGCCCCTAGATTCTATTTTAGAGCAGTGAAAATAGGGTCGTGGAATAGATTAGACCAACATTTAAAACAGAAAGTTGTGAATATCATGTTGTGAAATTTACTTTGATTTTTTATGATTGGTGGAGCTTCCTAGTTATGAATAAAATATACAGAGAAAAATCTAATTATGGAAAACTGTGGAATATGAACTAATACTTTTTTGTGTTTTTGATTTCTTGAAGCTAAATAAAGCTAGCTCAAGCAAAAGTGAGGACAAGAAAGGCAACAAGGGAAGCAGCAAAAGTGAAACCTCTACCGAGAGTGGCAAGACAGCAGTCATATTTTCCTTGAAAAACGAAGTTGGGGGATTGGTAAAAGCACTGAGGATCTTTCAGGTGAATGGAAAATGTCATCACATAACTTAAAAAATGACTGTGTACCTCAGTATAAATCTGTCACCTGTTATGAAATATTATTGAGCCATTTTCTGGATAATGTGGTGAAAGATTCAAGGAAGCAAACTTCATAAGACTTCACAAAATGAGGGTCTGCCAAACAGTGAAATAAGCATATTTGCATGAACTATCATTTATTAATTCTGAGTTAGTCTATTAAGAACTCTGTAGACTGTTGCCAGGTGAGAAAGTTGATAATTAAAAAATGTGAGCTGTACAGTTGAAAATGCATACACAAAAGAAGCCAAAGAGGGTATCTTTAAATGTCAAGAAGCTGAAGTTTTGATTTAATTTATTATAATTTGAATTGTACACATGTAATAAGAGCATATTTATAAGAGCATCTTGCTTTATAAAGCATTTATAAGAGCATCTTATAATCATTTATAAGAGCATCTTGCTTTATAAAGCAAGATGTATAAAAACAGGCACTTGATATTCTGCTAAGCCTAACTGTTTCATGATTTTACTGTCTTTTGTAAAGATAAGAAATTCTCCTTGTATGTGAATTGTAAGGCTAGCTCTCCCTGTAGCTTGTAGAAATGTAGTGGCATCTTCTCAGACTCAAATGTGTGGTTTGAACCCTCAGGAAAGAGCCTGGGAGGGGATAAGGCTAGAAAAGCCAGGAAAGCTATCGCCTTCTTGTCAGTGTACCCCTGATGTCTCCTTCACTTGTTATGGGTGCCCTCTCCCTTATTGAATGCATTGTGTTTGGGGGCAGTGGCTGTTGATGAGAGCTCTAAGGTAAGAAGCCTAGCTCTGCCTGCCACCTGGGGCTGCTATGCTGCGGCCAGAGATAGTAAGAATTACTATCCAGGAACTCAAATCTGTATTCTCCTGTTTTTGTCAGTCACTAGCAGCTTCCAAGGTTTAATTTCTTCATTTGTAAAACAGCAATAATAATTCTTGCCTAACTGGGTTGTGGGATGAAATCATATGAACAAAAGTGCACTGTGAAGTGTATGGAAATGAGGCATTATTATGATGCCTCTATGATGATCATACAGGGGAAATTAGCCTGATATGGCGAGTATTCCCTTTTGACCTTGAGGAAAAGATTAGGTACCATAACCAGTGGTAATGGAAAGCTGGGGTAGTATTTTACACACAATTATGTCAGCTAGGGCTGTGTCCACATTGAGCCCAAAGGCAAGCTGATTCAATTAGACAGCTGGGTGCAGTGGGGAAATCCCCAGAGAAGGAGTTGACAGCTCTAAGTTTTCACTCTGCCCACAGCTAGTGTAAGCTAAACCGCTTCAACTAACGGTCATTTAAAGTCCAAAGTGACACAATGTATATGAAATTACTTCACCTTTGAGCTTAATATTAATGTTACTTTTATTATCAGTCAATTTAGAAAATGTAGCATTATTATGAATGTTAATAAAAATAGAACATTTAGCTTCCTGGTCACGTGACTGGTTTCTTTAGGAGAGGGTGCTATTTGTTTTGGTTCTATTGAGGCGCTGAAAAGTATTTATCCTGCTCCTGTGCTGAAAATTCTGAGGTCATCCGGGATTGCATCAGGACTTGGGCTAGTGTTTGGAGTGTACCATCTGGAGTGATGGAAAGGTGTCTGCTTAGGGGCGGAGACAACTTGGTCTGCAATTAACTTAAGACAAAGACAACTGTGTCACTGGGGAAATTTAAACTTTTTAGGCATTAAATTACTTTTATCCCTTGAGCAGCTTACTGCAAGGAGATTTTCACCTCTGAAATTCATCACAGGATGATAGTTGTAGCAACACTTTCTTGGACAAAGCTAGCCTGGAGGTTCCCGAAAAAGAATAATTACTAAATGGTCAGACTTAGGGCATATTATTATGTCTGACCTTTTGTTTTGTCTTCTCACTGTGCCATAAGTAAATTACTTGTTTGATTTCCTTTCGCCTTTCGAGAGTCTTTCTTGACTGCTTTTCTTCCTTTTCTTATGTTTTGGGTTATGCTTTGGCCAATATTTCTCAACTACTCAGGAATTTTCATATCACTTTCCCAGTTTCTGCTTGCCATTTCTTTCAGTCACTCATTTTTTTAAAAGTTGCTTCAATTTAAAACTTTATTTCAAAAAGAAGCTTTCCATCACTATGAAGTTGAGAGTTTGAGTTTGAGTTGTTTTTCAGAAACATAAAATACGAATCTTGGGATTAGATGATAACATATGGTAGTAGACAGTTACAGGTTTTTTTCCCCCAGAATAACCATGTATCACCAGGGGGATATGGGCCACTTTGGGAAATGCTGATGTATATAATTATGATACATTTTATGGGAGCCCTTTATCTGTTATAAATGCCCTCCTTTTTTTGATGAGACAAGACAACCTTTACAGAGGCATAACAATTCAGATTTCTTATGGAGGCAGTAGTTGGAAACATTTTTACATATTAGTCCATCAAAGAACAAGAAGATTGTCTTTTATCTCTTTTGTGGGTACTTGACACTTTGTTGCTTATGAATCAATCAAACAAACAAACAAACAAACATTTCTTTTATTGCAACCTGAGTGTGAGTTAGAGGTGCTACTTAATGTTTCCACAGGAAAAACATGTCAACATGGTTCATATTGAATCCAGGAGATCCCGGCGAAGGAGTTCTGAGGTTGAAATCTTCGTGGACTGTGAGTGTGGTAAAACAGAATTTCATGAGCTCATTCAACTACTGAAATTTCAAACCACCATTGTAACGCTGAATCCACCGGAGAGCATTTGGACAGAGGAAGAAGGCAAGGGCGAGTTTTACTTGGGTGATTTTTGCAGTCTCACAAATGTTGTGAAGGGCAAAACACAATCTGTGAGCTAATATTTTTTGAACTTGCACTGTCTTAACAGAGCTAGAGGATGTGCCTTGGTTCCCCCGGAAGATCTCTGAGTTGGACAAATGCTCTCACAGGGTTCTCATGTATGGCACTGAGCTTGATGCTGACCACCCAGTAAGTATCTAGCAAGATCCATCTCACACGTGCTTTCTCAGCTCTGCCCATGGGCCAGGCAGTGAGCTGTAATGCATTACTGCAGAGCGGTTTATTATGTATCCTTCATAACCGAGAGCAGACTTTGTGATGATAAAGCTTCCCTGTACACACGCATTGGCTAGAAGCAGGTTAGAAAGATGGCATTTCCCCATAACATTTATTTTTAAAAGGGTCGGAGAGAGGAAGAGATTCTGCACCCTGAAGATTATTTCTGTGGATTAGACAGATTGAAATATATTTGTAGATGGTGACCCTTGGAAAAATGATTAACTGCAATTGATCATACCTTTGGGATACTAGAGAAGATGGGGTATGACGGGGCTCAGTGAGAGAATAAAATTTTTCTTGCCATTTTCCTTGACTGGAGGTACTTAGGAGTAGAGTAATGTAGTTGACTTTAGTCTCAATGGAAAGGCAGAAGGTTTTAAAATAAGGCTGTGATGGAAGATGTATCTCTCCCCACATCTACCCTGAATATACCTCCCACCATTCTTCCTCTGCTCCAATAAAAATGACCATCTTTAAAGAAATATGGTACTCTTTTAAGCATTTCCTATTATTTCCCCTTTCCCCTCTTTACATCAGTTTTTATTTAACACAAGAGACCTGGAGCTTCTTTGTGATCAGAATGAAGTACAGTTAATAGTCTGGGAGAGGTAGACAATGCACCCATTCGTTATAAGCAGTATCTTCCTCCCCCAGTTGCTGTTGCCTGAAAATAGATAACAGAAGGAGATCCAAGCAGATAATCATTCTCATAGGAAGGCTTTGTGTGGGGAGGGTAGCAGGTTATAGATGTTTATACTAATTAAGTCAGGGAATCTGACAGTGTGACTCTTACATGGTGGCTGTCACAGTGTGAGTGCAGATTGTGCAGCAGCAGCCTCACCTAGACACTTGTATTACCCAGTCCACACTGAAGATGGAGAACCGCTCTTTTAAGGGAAAATATGAGAACTTCAACACTAGAGAAATTTTGAGCCACTAGTCATTTTGTATAATACACCAATTCAAACCAATTCGAACTGAAATTCACATAAATGATCAAGCAGACCTAATTCAGTTGCATTATTTTTAAAAAGCTGAATTCATACAAGAACCAGTGTGTTTTATTTGCTATCATGGCGTATGACTTCAGACTATTTCATAGTAATTAGCATGTAAGTCTCCTGAACCTCAGAAAAACATTCAAAAATGGCGTTAATAATCTTTTTTTGTTATCTTCTCCTCTCAATTCCAGAGAAGTCAGATTTAGCAAAGGGGCCTGATTTAAGAGATTATCAGGACTAGGGCTGCAGAGACACCAGCTGTTAACTTGCAGAATGACCTTGGGCTAGTCCCTCTACTTCTCTACCTCATTCTTTATGTAAAAAAGGGGGAAATAAAATTCTTATTGACCTCAAAGGGGTGTTTGAAAAGCCTAGTTAATAAAACAACTGGAAGGCATTTTGGCAAGAGTAAATGCTTAATTCCAGTAATGAAAATGTTGTATTAAATCATCCAGATCAACGTTTGGACAGTAAAGGATTTTTCGATAACCTATTTCCAAATGCTCCCTTTAGTCTAGTTTGAAAATTACTCAACCTACAGAAAGAAGTTCAGCTATCTGAATGGAAAAACCACAGAAACCACCGACCTTGCTCTGAAAAAATTTGTTCTAACACTGAGTAAATTTTCCTGTGCTTAATTTTATTCCATTATTCTTAATTACACCCACTTTATGATATCTTCTCTTATTTTCTGTGCAGCCACTTGAAATAACTGCAGGTACTTAGCAATCCTGTACCTCTCTTGTCATTTTTTACCCATATTTCTTTTGTAAGCATGCCAAATGCTCATTATATGAAATTTGATATTGATAAGTTGGTGTTTTGTAAGTTCTAATTTGATGAAGAAGAAAAATGTTGTCTAAGCACTTTTTATGACTAAGAACAATCTCAGTTCTGAGATGGACAGAGGGATCCTTGCAATAGGGTAGTTCGGAAAAGGCTTGGTATATAAGTCATGCTGCTGTGGTTCCTTAGAAACGGTTAAATGTCTAGCTCAGGACCTATGAAACTGTAATGGAAAACAAGTCTCCTGGGAGACCTTTTAAAAATGTAGATAGTGATTCTATAGGTCTTCCGCTTCTGTATTTCTAGTGAGCTCTTGGTGGACACCTCTACTGGAGAGAAGGGGGATCAGCCAGAATGAGACTAAGTCTTTCAAAGTGTGATTAAAGGTCTATTCCTAAGGTACTTGTTAAAAATGTAACATCTTGAGGTTCATGTGAAGCCTACTGAATCAGAACTTTCAGAAACAGACCCAGGAATCTTCCTGTCTAAGGATTGGCAGGAGGTTCTGATGAGCTCTAAGTGTGAGAACTAATGTCCTAGCTTAGTGAGGCCCAGCTTTAGCTTCCCATTCACATCATATGTGGGGCATTAATTAAACAAAACACTGATGCCAGCACCTCATCCCAGAGAGCTAAAATCAGAATCTCTGGGAACATGGCCAGGTTTGGAGTAGTATTTAAATCTCCCCAGATGATTCCAGTGTCCCACCAGGGTTGAGCTATTTGGGATGGCTACTTCAGTGTCAGCATAAATTGAGCTGGGCACTTGTAGGCTCAGGCTGGATCTTCCCTACCTTTGGTGTAAGTTGAGGGAGAGAGGGTGGGTTTATGCAGCAGGTACTCTCAGGGTATGGGGTAGCCAGACTGTGTGAATAAATATATAGGATGCCCAGTTAATTTGGAAAAATTTGTTGTTTATCTGAAATTAAAAATTTAGCTGGATATTCTATATTTTGTCTGGTAACCCTACCCCTGGCTTCTGTTCAGAATGAATGGCCAACTTATGCTGTGTCTATAATTGCTAGTGCAGCCGGCATCTCTTAGTTTGACATTCTGTGGTTCAGTCCAGGAAGCTCTGGATCGCCCACAATATTTGCGTAATCACCGCCACTCCAGGCTAATGAGGCATGATGAGTAAATCTCTCTCTTGTGTCCCTGGAAAAGGTGCAGGTGTTTGCTGAGGAGAAACAGTTGAGATTCTTCTGGAAGCCCAGCAGATTATGATGCTGTTACCATGGTGTCCAGTCTGGCAGGAATCAGGGAACAGATGCTGTGCTTTTCACAGGATTCTTTCTCTTTTGTCATGGCCTACTTTGTTTTTGAATAATAAACATGCTTGGAGTTCTTCAATTTTCCTACCCCCAGGTAACCTGGTTTTACTAGTGAGTGTTGACATGTATTTTCTCCCTGACCATATCTACCCTCCACAGCAGGACGTTTTTAGATCACAGACCCATTAGTGAATGTGGTAACTATGGTCACAAAATTTTGTTTGTAGCCATTTTAGAACTTCACAAGCCTGTCTATCAACTCCAGTTAAAAACTCCTAATCCACAGCACAAGACAGAAAGTGCTAGTTTCTGAGCAGACGAGACTTCATTTCTACTGGGTGTTAGGTGATCCCTCTTCCCTTCATTAGTAACTCTCATGTTATTCTGAAAGGAAGGTCATTCTTTATTTCTGTGTAGCAGGCAGCCTTGTGAAGATTCCTGGTCTCTCAGGCCTGTTTTCTGTTAGCAAGATAAGAGAACAGAGTGATTGTCTAGTGTTTTGGGGGCTCCTCTTCATCAGTCTACCATGCAGAAATGCCTGTGTTGCTGCCGAGCTCACGAAGGCCTTTGTGGGCCTCGTGCTTGCTCCTTTACCCTTAAATACCGTGGTCCCTGTGGTTGGTCCTCTTGCCTGGCCTCCATGATCAAAGGCCGCTGCTTCCCAGTTATCCTTGGGGGTTGGAGGATTGTAGAGATAAGAAGTTAAGTGGAAACCATTTCTTCTGAGTGTCCAGCAGCTACAGCGGCAGCCACAACCCTGGAAAGAATTGATTGGAAGTGCATGGAGGAAAAGAAAATGGGAGGTCTGTTAGAAAGAGGACAGATTGTTGAGTAAACTAGGAAGTCTTCTCAGAGGCTGAAAAATGACAGGCATGGTGTTTAATTTCCCAACAGATGACGCTAGATACAAATCTTAACTAAGTTGGCTGAGATGTGTTAGAACTATACTAAGTCAGGATGAGATGGAACCTACCTGTTGCCCTTGCGTGGATCCTTATCGATCTTAGATTGTACGGCTGCAGTCATAAATGACAGCAAAACCTCTCTAACTCATACTAACTTGGGGATCTGATGATTATTCTAACAGATTTTAGTAAATGTTATATTTATTAATTTTTTACACAGCACAATTAGAATTAAGTGGACTTACTGAATAACCGTATTGAAGAGACTTGCTTTAATAAAGAGGACAAGTGTGACTTGTGATTAGGGTTAATTACATGTGAATGATACTTGAAACCCAAAAGATACTGTTCAAAATATCAATTTGTTTAACTAAGCTATTCTGCTTACTTGGTGAAAGGTAAACTCATTGGATTCCCACACTTCCCAAAGAAGTAGAGCTCACACTGAACGAGGTTTTACTGTAAGCACAGTTTGCTTCTGCCTATGTCATCAAGACGGTCATCTGAGGATAAGATTTACATTTGAATTGAACACTCAGTAAACACCACAGTGATTTTCTTTGAGGCCTTCTGCAGCTAATTTTTGGGCACTTTGTTGAATAACTTAATCTCTTCTTTGTTTAAGGGATTTAAGGACAATGTCTATCGACAGAGGAGGAAGTATTTTGTGGATGTGGCCATGAGTTATAAATAGTAAGTACTGGTATAATTCTTTCTTGTCACCGACTAGTTAGGAAAAACACATGCTGTGTTAAACGGACCTGTCTTCTCTTCGTGTAAACTTTTGCAGAAGGCAGACATGAGCTGTTTTAAACACTCACCAACTCCGTAGGTTTTAAATGCCAGCGCTGATATTTGACATCTGGGTATAATTGTAAAATAATGAGACCTGTGGGCCACATGCCAAGTGCTACATTTACACCATTGTGTTCGCTGCTCCATTAAGGCATGAAGTCATTTCCGTGCACTCGGCAAGGTCGGGAGACTGTGCTTTCATTTCACTGACTTGATTGACTTTCTAGTAACCCCTTTCGGTGTCCAGCTTCTGCCATGAGAGCGGAGGATTCCACCTGAATGGGGGGAGGAGTCATTTAAGCAGCCCCAGGGGAGAACAGGTGTGTTTGCTTCACACGGAAAGGGGAATTCCCTGTGAGAGGGGAAATGGAAAGTCTCACACTCAACCCAAGATCAGGGTTGGGATGAAAGTGAAGAACCTCACTTTCTGGGGCGAGGACTGTCCATGGTTCGGGATAAGAAGCAGCAGTGACAGAATGAGTCTGTGCCTGTGAATGATGTCATGTGTTGGCTGCAGGCTGTGTCCAGACAAATGGAGTGGGTGTTAGGTTCCTGTTTATCTCACTCTCTCTCACGCTAGAGTCATCTCTTTCCCTCTTCTGGTATGTGATCAGCTACATGAAGCTAGTCCTCAGAGCATGGTATGAACCTGTGCGTGGTAGAGGAAAGATTCCACCCTTCTGTAGATGCGGTAGGTGAGAAGGTGGACTGTCGCGCAAGGCAAGTCTTACTGGTGGGAGTTTAGATCAGTGTGTTATTATGGAGGTATCGGTATTGGCTTTTTTTTTTTTGGTGGGAGACAAGCGCTTGCTCATTCCTGCCTTCCCTTGGTAGTTAGGTTGTCTCCCTACCTTTCACCACTAGGCATCCTTTACCCTCTCTCCATCATGCTCATAAAAACGGTCTTCCTGAAGACCAGGTCTACTCACCACGTGCTTGCCCCTGTGTCTCTACTCTGTTTCCAGCAGTGTCTTCCCTCTCAGTGGTGACTTCCTGCTCCTCACTGTGTCAGTGTGCATGAGGCTGGCTCTGGCCCAAACCAGTCTCTTGTCCCTCTTTGCCCTCAGCACCATTACTCACTCGTCCCTTTCCTGAGAATTTCTTAGTCAAATTGCCAAGAGAAGACCCCGGTGTGTGGGGCTTACTTTTCATGTCAGACCCTGGTAAGCGGCTGTGAGCCTTAAGATTGGCTCCCTCTGGTTCACAAGCTCTCCCTGTGGAGTCCAGTCATCCTGCCTGGGTGGGTCCTTAGAGGGGGCGGGGGCGGGCGGGGCAGTCCTCTGGGGAAAGACCAGGCAAGACATGGTAGAGGCTCAGTGCTGGGCAGCGCCTTCTCCCTTGGGTAACATAGGTAAATATGTATTTTATAGTAGATTATATCAGTATCTCTATATATCTATGTCTCTGTATATCTATTGGTACCTCAGTTCATGAACTTAATTTATTATATTATTAATAAAAAAATAAAAATAAAATATTTTTATTAATTTTATTTACAATTGTGGGGAAGATGGCTGTGTTTGTATTTGTTTGGGGAAGGTGGCCACTGCTGTGTTTGTGACCTGATGTGGAGTTTGTGAGTGGAAACAAAATTTTGTTGAATTCTTTCATTTGAGAATTGAATTGCTTGTGAGCAGAAGCACCTGTGAACCAAGCTATTATTGTATATCTATATATACCTATATATATATATGATTTTTGACATAAGATTTTGTTTGCATAATGACTAAAGGATAGCACAGCTATCCTTATTTCTTGTTTCTTCTCAATAGACTCCAAAAACTGGACAAAGACAAGCTGATATAGTGGTAACACATATGTAGTAGTATGATCAAAAAATATGGTGGATATTTAAACTAAAAAAACTGTAGTAAAAGACACATGGCCTATAATCCCCCTCAAAATGCTCCCCTTCACTTTGAGCCACTTCTTCCATTGTTCTCCCACTGTCTGAAGCAGCTCTGGGAGTCTTGTTTCCTGAGTGTCTCTAGTTGCAATGCTGTAGTTGCCTTGGTGTCCCGAGTTGGTTCCAGACAACTACCTTTCATGGTCATTTTTACTTTGGGAGGAACTAGAAGTTGCACCGTGCAAGAACAAGGTGGATGAGGACACACCATAATATTTTTATGTGCCTGCCTTTGCACTGGATGGCGTTCGGCAGCAACGTTCCCTGTGTGTTTGATCACACCTCATAAAAGGGCACATCACAGAAGAGCACTTTCAGAACTGCTTCAGAAAGTGACAAGAATGATGGGATAAGATTGGGTGCTTTGAGAGGAATTAATGACAGTGCATCTTGTACTGTAATAATTTCTGTATTTAAACATATGCCACATGTTTTGCTTAGGCCTTATGTGAGTCTGTGGTTTCAAGGAACATCGATAATGCGAAGTCATTTGCTTTTAAAGGAACACATGTATGTGGAAAGGGAGGAAAGAGCAGCATGCCCTCAAAACGAGGAAGGGGGAGGCTGTCCAAGTGTTAAGAAGCGTTTGCCTTTGCTACCTTTCCATAGCTAAGGAGTGAGATTAAGCTATAGCTTCTATGGGGAAATAGTAGAAGTCAGAGGTTGGGACAGGGAAAGGCTGCACAGAGCAGGGCTGTGTGGAACTGAGGCATCCTAGGATCTGTGCCAGTTTGGGAGTTCGGGGAGTGCTCAGGTCCGAGGAGGATGGCTCTTGTGATTGAATGTTCAGGAGACTGAGGGAGGGAGGACACTGACAGTTCATCACTTTACAGACACAAGTCTCATAGAACTCACAAAATCCTCCCTGTTTTCATGATAGCAGAGGAGGCCAAAATATATGGGAGAGCTGTCTGGTAGGCGCACAAACATGAGACGTTTAAGAGCCTCGTATCGGGGGTATTATAACCTGCTTGTTGGACAGTGCTGAGCTCAGACTGACTAAGCATGTTGACAAAGTGCTAAAAATCTGGGGCACCAGCGTAAGACACTCCGGGTGCGAGGGCTAGCTCTGCTGCTTCCTGGCTAAAATATCAAGTTCGCCGTGCCTCAGCTTCTTCATCTGTGACGTATGCCTGATGATCTGACCTATCTCACAGGGTTGCAATGACTTAAAAAGAGACTCTGTGTGCTGTACACAGCACCCTGCCTGTCAGTTAGTATTATGTCTCCCTACCACCTTTTCCATGGTTTGCTGCCCATTTTCAGTTGAAATTCCAGTTGTATTCTCCTTTTTCTTCCTCTTCCTCCTCCTTTTTTCCTTCCTCTCTTTCTCCTACTCTTACCCTCTTCTCCTCTATCTCTGTCTTTTTCTCTTTCTCCTTCTGCTTTCTGTGGTACTGGGAATCAAACCAGGGAGAGCTGAGCTGCATCTTAGCACTTTTTTATTTTGAGAGTTTTTACAAAGTTGTCCAGGCTGGATTTGATCTTGTTATCTACTCCTGCCTCAGCCTCCTGAGTAGCTGGTGTTATATGCATCCACAACAATGCCTCGCTAATTTTCTTCTTTAGCTGTGTTAAGACTATTGTCTGTGCTGCCTTCTTACCAAATAATGTAGCTCAAGCATCCCTAAAAGCAACACTTGTGAAGAAATTATTTGGTTTCCCTGAAGATATTGTTGGGTAACCTGATGCTTTTCATTCTTACCAACATCTCTCTTCATGAAAAAATTAATAGTAATCAGTCATATTCTCATTTTTGTGCATATATGAGAAGCAGACAAAATACTGATGACAAATTTCCAGTCCCCTGGGGTATTCCCTGAGGAAGGTGACCTTCAGGAGTAGATGAACCAGGAAAATACAAACCCAGGACTTTTGAAAGCAGATCCTTCTGCAAACATTCTTTCCTTGATAAGCCTCCGGCTGTCCTGGCTGACGTTCCTCTGCATTATCATTCTGAAGATGGAAAAGGGCTAGGCATGCACCTGTGTATGTTTGCGTGTGTGTGCATGCACACCCGTGTGTGTGTGTGTGTGTGTGTGTGTGTACATGTAGGTGCTTGCCAGCTCACTTTCTAGTTCCTGCACCTGCTACATTAGTGGGGGGTGGGCACAGCTACTAACAAATTCCAAACGGGCCAGGGTCTCCCTTGCCATGCAGCAAGCAAGGTCTCTTTCTCATTTACAGAGAATAAATGTATACTTTCTAATTGGAATAGGTATTTTCTAGTGTTGAGGACTTTCTGCATACCACAACTACTTAAAACAAACTACATTAAATATACTTGGACTGTATTTTTCAAACCAAATCTTGAAAGCACTGGACCAAGGTACAGATTATTTCAGATTGGGGTAATCTTCAGAAATCCCTGCCAATGTAGATTGGTAGTAAAGCTAGGAGCATTCTGGTGTCTGGGAGAATGGGGAAATGTTGGTCTCAGGTAGTATAATGTTTCAGTCATAAGAGGAAATAGGTGAAAATATTTGAGGCAATGAATAAGCTCTATCCGATCAGTCTGCATTATATGCACATATCCTAGCATCATTTTGTATCCCATAAATATACACAATGATAACTTGTCAGTATGCGATAAAGATAATATAATATAAGAGACCATTCTGACATGGGTAGAACAATTCAGTTTGCTGTTGATGATTAGTTCAGCCTTTCCCAATACTGAGGAGAAGTCATAAATACATGGCCAGAAACATAGTAAAAAACAAAGTACAGATGTTTTGAGGTTGTAGCAGAGATGGTCAGGATGTAGTTTGAGGTGTCTAAAGGTAAAGAGAAGGAGGAAAAATGAAATACAGAATAATACATATTGAAACTACAGCCAAGAAGCCCTCTGGAGGATTTGTGTTGAATACTGTATTTTTCTATGATAGTCTTGAAAGGATAAACCAGGGGGAGAGAGTCAACACAAGCAGAGAAAAATGAAGAAATTCCACTTTATGATGAAAAAACAGCAGGCTGCAAGTCTGCGTTACCG